GACCCCTCCTGCTACATCCACCTATCACATCCTCTCTTTCAGGATTTGTTAATAGTTCTCTCTTACATTTAATTATATATTACGTATAACCAATAGAAAGCCAAGGTTTCATCTATCAAATGATGTATATATTATGTTGTGTTCTGAACAGATAATCATCAATCATGATTTTCTGTTTGATAGCTCTGTAACTAAACAAAATTGAAGGCCATAAAAATTATTGTTTGTCTGAGGAATAACGATTTTATAGAGAGTAATTTATGTTTAATTTCGTACTTTTTTCGAGGGGGTGGTGGATAAAATAGCGAAGATGACGTGCTGAGAGAAAATGTGTCACGTGGGTCACACTAGGGGAAATTCAGGCTTTTTTGTAATATTGCCTTGTAGAATTAAGAACTTAACTTGTATACTATTAAAATATGGATTATTAGCTAAGATTTTATGCTATTCTAATTGGTTTAACCTAAATAAAAAGTAGTTTAATAAAATTTTGAATGTAAGACACTAAAACCTTGTGTCATGCGCAGTAAAGAATACCCGGGGTGATAGGGTTAAAAGTTAGTGGTATCAAATCTATAAAGACTTTGACCAAGCCCATGTTGAGAGAGTTAAAAAAAAACTTAGAAAGCTGACTGCTAAGAAAAATAAATGGTTACACTATTAGTTGAGCTGATTTGTTAATCAGACTTCATCTAAGTACACAAATGTTGTTGGTCAAGTTTAGTGCTATCAGTAGATAATATTTTTAAATGTATGAATTTTTTGTGAGTTTTTATTTTTACCCTGTTACTGGTACACATGTTTCTACAGAACTGAAACACCATTTGACATGATAGAACTTGACATAAGATAAAATATGAATATATTTTTTTTTATTTTCTGGATTTAATAAATTAAAAGAATGACATTTGTCATGTAGCTAAGATGCCAGTAACTTCTCTGTTGTATAGATTGAAAAACTGGAAGAGCAACTTAACAAGGAACAAGTATTACATCATCAGGCTGAGGAAATAAACCGTAAACTAAGTGCAGGTTGGTTAATTCTACATTTTTCTCTTGAATAAAATATTTTTTTATAAAGTTCTATAAATAAATAGCATTAGAATTCCTTATTTGTGTAGCTTACTTGTGACAGTTATAGGAAGTATTTTACTACCTTGAAAGGCTAATAGCTTTATTTAACATATATGTACTTTATAGATTTTGAGAATCCATGAGTTGCTTCATTAAATAAGAAAATACATAAACAAAAACCACCTTTAAAATTTAGCTGGGCACTTACTAAAAGGGAGTTTTGGCAACTCAGAAAATATATTAATTCTTGTACCATATGATGTGATTAAAATTATTTTTTATTATAAACCTAAATTCATATGCCTCAACATTTGGGAGAAGGACAGCAACAATAATGGGTGGGGGGAATGATCTTTTTTTTTTCCTTCACATTTATATTTCTATTACCTATACACTTGCATATATATTTAACACTACTTTTTTTAAGTTTGATCTAGTACACAAAATAGTGACTGTCCCAGTAGAATCAAAACTGTTGGCAAGCTTGTAATTACATAGGTACAATAGTAATAAGATAACTGAATACATACTTGATATATGCCTTGTAAAGTTGACCAAATTACAAAGACATATGAAATAAAAATTTACAAAACTACAAGATAATTTATCATGTGGAATACATTGTTATCAATAACTAAATATTCTTACTTTTCTGGATAATAAACAGTATGTTTCTGTTCTTTACACTGTGTTATAAACGGACAAGGAAGTAAACTTACTTCCAAAACATACTTACTTTCCCTCACACCACAGCTATTTCTCAACTGCTAGAATTTCTTCCTTTGCCCATCTAAGCATTGGTCTGATTTTTTCTCACTTGCTCCAGTCTTTTATACCTCACTTCATTGTTCTTGGCAATATTTGTCTCATGACACTCTCCACCAACATCAATGAGCCCTCTCTCCTGGTACTGTATATAAGCACCTCATTCAGGCCACTCCTATCCCACCTCTGATATCTAGCATCGCTGAACAATGGGGAAGGAGTAACTCTTGGGTGAGACTGTAGGTGATCTTATTGTACTAAGATGGAGACATATATTCGGCTTGGGGGGGTCTGAGGCTGCATTTGAGGGCAATCCTGGATATTGTAGAGAGAATTTAGATTTGCTTTTTCCTGTGCCTTCTTTTATTCTGTTGGCTTATCAGGAGGCCATTTTGGGATAAGCTGCCTCAGGCTCCTTTTCTTCAGTTTGTCCATTGGGTGTGTGTTTTAGGTCTTTCCCCAGTTGTTTTTGAGCCTGCACCTTACTTGATGGCTGAAAGGTATAGGAGTGAATACTTAGTTTTCCTTCCATCTACTAACATTGTCGTTCATGAAGGGAGATTTACTGCTCAATTACATGAAGTGACAGCTATGTCTTATCTGGCACTGTTGTTGGAACTACGTGATTTAGCCTACCAACTCCAGGTGGAAGTATATTCTAACTTTCAAAGAATTCACCTGCTTCTAGAAATTAGGGGCTTTACAGTGGATTTTGTAGTAACCTGAATAGATCAATGCCCACTGGTGGGACAGCAGAAACTGTGTACTTACAACTCTAGAGTCCAGTGTGTTGTTTTCCTAAAACAAAACATTGTTGAAAAACTATCAGGATCACCAATTCTATTGATGATGAGCTGGACCCATTATTAGCATGCACATTGGTTTGATTGTCAGCTTCTACATTAATCTCTGTTGTTGTTGATGTCTCCACTTTCATTGGCTCCTACAGGGGGTCATAGTTCAGTCCCTATTTGAGGGTACCCAGAATAGATTCTATCCACATCCAAGGGTACCGCTGCTTGATCTCAACACCTTCAGCAGAATTGGTGATTATTGTATGCCGTTAGGGTCTGTTGGGGCTCAGCTCCGAGAATTCCTGGATGTATGGTAAATCTTAAACACTGATCCAGTAACTTACCCTCGGGCTTTGGCAATGGATGCATTCCATCAGGATGGGACCTGATTACAACTCTAGGTCTTCCCTCCAATTCGTATGATACCCAAGGTATTAAATATGATTTGTTCCAACCCATTGACAGGTTTTGTAGATAGCACCAGAGGGCAGCTACACTCTGGTTTCTGCTTCTTCACTCCTTTCAGGAGTGCCTACCTCTTCCACTTTTTCTTTGGCCATGATCTGACATGATACACCCAGCTACCCAGAAGCTCACACTTCAGACATGGAGGTTATGCAGTTCTTTGCACAGCATTGGGGTTTAATTTCTAAGGTTGCCGTGAATCTGTCTTTGCTTAGTCCCACAGCGGAACTTATCAACAGAAATGGCACAAGTATCAGCAATAGTGTATTGAGAGGAGGTTGAACCCATTTCGATCAGAAGTGTCAACCATAACTCAATTTTTGACCAGGCTCTTTGTTATGGTTTTGCATTTCCACAATCACCCTGTATAAGTTGGCTTTATCGACTACCATTCATGGACTATCATGAGTGAAGCATAAAGGGATCCTGCTTGTCTTTGCCAATCTTTGGATTGAATAAATCAGGGACAGTTTGCTATTAACAATTTAGGGAAGTTGGTTCACCTATTGCACTGTTTCCAGAACAATGTTCCTCAGTACATTTGGACTTCTTCAGGTTGAGGAGAAGGGTTGTCCGCTTCAGTGTTGCTAACCTTTTGGTTGTGGTTCTGGTGGCTCGGAATGCATCACTCTATGGCTACAGGTTGGGATCCACTCATAAATATATAGATATATATTGCGGTCCAATTGCCCTAGCCACTAACATGGGATATAGGTACCATGACCCTATAATTTCAACCCCAAGCAGTGTAACCTTGGCTATCTGATTGGGGTCTGGCCAGTAGTGTTGATAAATTATGTAAAATTCCACCCACAGTACATGAATTAAGTTCCAGGTGAAGAGCATATCTGTTCTGGATGTAGAGCAATTCCCCCACTAGGGTGCAAGTATTCTATTGACACACTCATGATCTGTGCCGATGCTTTCTGTATGGATAATAATAATAATACCCTCACCAGCCCCTCCACCTTTGTACATGTTTACCAATTATATTTGTCATAAAACTAGTGTTAGGCTCACTGTATTTCTAAACACTAAATTCTTTATTTCATCTCTTAGGCTTTTCATGAGAAGAGTGTATAACCACACTATATCTGCCAATCTGTTTCTTGTAAAATTCCTAAGAGATTGAATAAAGAATGTTGTGTTTCAGAATACAATAAGCCTAATACAGTTTTCAATTTATTACAATCACTTTTCCAGAAAAGGCATCACACCATAGTGATTGTTATACATGTTAACCTTATACCATCAATGCTGTTATGGAATATCACATCCTATGTGTAAAATAATCAACATTGACAACCTTTTTATTTTGTTTCATTGTTTAATTTCTGTGTTATGAATATGTAAATTGTTTGAACTGCAAGATACTGTGTAAGACAGAAGATATAATATTTTGATTTAAGTAATTTTTGTTTTGTTAATAACTCCAGATTATGACAAAGTTTCACAGATAATCAAATAGAAATCTTGCATTATTTTTTTTTGTAAATGAAAACTAAAAAAAGATGTTTCATTGTATATCCAGAACTCGTTTCATTACGTGGAGAAGAGCCTAGCCAAATTCATCAGCTCAGGGCAGAGTTGGAATTACTTAAAGCTGGTAGTTTTAAAGGAAACTTACTTTTCCCAAAGAGTCTCTCTGACAGTTGGAGGCCTGAAGTATGTTTTTGATACTTCTAAAGATATTAAAATTTTTTTTTTCCTGAAGGGTAAAAAATCAACTAAAATTTTATGATGAAAAAAATATATTTTCAACTTAATTTTAAGTTTTTATTATCTACTTGTGTTTTACTCTGAAGTTAAAGGATATTTAAAATTATTATGAAGTTTTGGCTAGATTACAGCAAAACCACTGTTATAAAACAATCTGACTTCTCAGTTTATTTTTAGTTAAATCATGCATCTGACAATCCATCATGTGATTTGAATTACAAATTATTAACCGTTCAGCCCATGATAATGTAAAACGGGTTATTTTAAAGATGTGGTGGTAGGCTTTATGTCTTTTTCCATCACAAAATTAATATTTATTTGCAATACTGGGAATATGAAGTTAGTGGCAATTAACACAGGTTGCCAACTCAATTTTATAAGTAGCAGAATTCAAAGGACAAAAATACTTATCAAAAATTCATCCAAAATGGTAATTGCAGAAGTTCACAATTCTTAATTGAAATATTCATTTCGTACAACAAAATTTAGGTCTGTAATAATCTTGCTTCACTTCAAATAATATACAAATTGATAACTTACTTATAAGAGAACTGAATTATTTCTCATTTCTAGCAAATCTGAAGATACAACAAATTCTGTATCTGGCTGATATAAGGTCTTTGGTAAGAGGTGAAGTTATCTTGAGGGTAACTAATGATTCCATCAAATACTAAAATTTCTTCAAATTTCCATCATCTATACCATTTGTGCATTATTACAGCTTATTATAATTATTTTAGCTTGTTCTGTCTTCATGGTAACTTTATGTTCACTGTATGTGATGTCCTTAAATGATTACTGAAACTATTACATTCCAGTGAGAATATTGTTACCATACTTGTCCATGTGTATATTAACTGAGTTAATGATAACAGCTACTCTGTCTTGTTTGATTTCTTTCTGCTGGGCCTCTCACATTTTGGTGAAAACAATATATTCTATTCAATGCTTTCATGCTTGTTCATGTATTTTGATCTCTGTGTTAAACTGTGTTTGAAATTAACTTAGTGAGTTTTGTCAAAAAGTAATGCTTAAAATCAGATAAGTTATCAGTTGATAAGGGCATAAGGTACCCTTGACCACTCCTGTAAAAAAGCTGTTTGCATATATAGTCTAGGTCAAATGACCTTATCATTTGCACTTCAGATACATTACTGGTCGTCTGAAGCCTAAACTGCTTAACAATGAAGTGAGATGAATGATTGCTATTGTTTCATAACACTGGTTTTGTCTTGTTATATCTATTATATTCCATTATATAATTATTTAAGTAGCTGAGACCAGATTAAACTATACTGTGTTAATTTATTTTCTTTCAGGAATTTGGGATATTAACTTATCAATGGGAGAAATAATTCATTAGAACTTGTTATAAATTACTTTGGGTACAAAAAAAAAACATAATTGTTTTGATAATGGATTATGCTTTACAAACATAAATCCTTTTAAAATTATGTAGAACATTTTTTCAGGCACATCAAGATCATTTAACCAAATTGTTGAATAATATCAACACTGAACTTCATAACCAGTCCCTAACGAGAGACATTATGGAGAAAGATCGAGCTAAAAGTGAAGCTTCCATTAGACAGGATTTTTTGCGCAACAAAAACAATTACATGGTAATTGGTTAATTTTTTAATTTGTTCCATTCTGTGTAAGTTTATGTGAAATGTAGCTTACTGTTGTGCATCAAATACATTAAATATAACTCTTCATCAAAAAATTTGTAATTTATATATATATAAATGTTTTTAAACTGCTCAAGCAAATATGCATAAAAGCCAAACATTTTTGGTTCAATGCTGAATATAGTTTCAGTTACTGGACTTGAACGAATTCTTAACTGCTCATTCTCAGATGAAGTAACAGTTCTGAAATTGTCAGTTTTAATTAACGTTATTAAACCTTCAACTCATTATAGTTTTCTCATGCATGAAATTAAAAAATTGAAACGAAACTAATCAAGTTGATAAATAGAATAGGACAAAATTACAGTTATAGCTGATGTAGAAAAGCAAATTGTGATGTTTAGAAGCTGGCTTTGGAGATTCATGTATCAGACTTTAATACAAATCCTTAACTGGTTTTCATCTTCACATTTAATTACAAACATCACATTGACCTTTTGACTCATTCTAAAGTCATCCTCAGACATGAATATTTAAATGTAAGCTAAGCAGTTTGATGAGAGTAATAGGAAAAAGCTCATCATTTTAAAAGAAGGGCGGATGGTGTCTGAATGTGGTTCAAAATTGTTATATATGTTTAATATCATAATAATATTATTGTTTTGAAAAGTATAGACAAGCTGGATGTATTTAGAAGCAACACCGTGAGCATATTTAAAACTTCTTGTAACAGTTTGATGGTGATTAATATGAAAAATTTGCTTTTATTGCATTGAAAACTAATGGTGCTTAATATATTTCAAACTGAATACATTTAAGAAACTAATAATTTGAGTTTATTTAAGAATTAATTCAGTGAGAGTATTTAAAAACATACACTATATAAAATTGATATGATCATGTTTCTCAGACACTAATATTTGAATGTACTTTATCTAAAAGTTATTTTTAGTCCATCATGAATGAGAGTTTAGATATTTACCATATCTTTTTTAATATGTAAATTAAGGAATTTTTGTTTAAAATATAAGATACATGCAGTTACATTTCTGGATATGTATAAGTTTCCCCTTTTGCTGTTGCCATTGTAATTGAACTAAAGGTATCAGTCATTCTTCTAACAGTGTGTTGTAATCATGTATATGTGTTAATATTATTTTTATTGTTCTCTTTTTTTTCAGACATGTTTATTGTGCTATTGAAACTTTGACTAAAATAAGTAAAACTCTATAATTGCATCTAATTATATTATAAATTAGTGAATGGGCATTATGTAACTTTAATCTCTTAGGAACAAATATCCTTCTTACAAAAAAAGCTCTCAACAAAAGAGACAGAAAGAGGAGACTTGGAACAAAATTTGGACCGATTAAAAAGAAAGTTAGAAGCTGAACAGTTAGCTAGGAAAAGCTTAGAAACTCAGATGTATGCTACTGGTGGATCTCAAGTGGTGAGACAATTGAATAATCTCCCAGCTGATAGTAAAATACTGAACAATTTTCGCAGTGCAACAGTCTCTGGTAGCCAGGAAAGGTTAGTTATCTATTATCTTCCAATTTATTCTTAAACCAAATTCAAGGGAAAATCATTGCCATCCCTTTGGATCCATGAAAAATATCTTAACCATTTCACTAAGGGCTCGGTCCCAGGAATTGACCTTGTAACCATATTATGCTTGTTGTAGTTTTCATACTATAACTTTTAATACGGTACGCACACTTTCACAAAATTTAGCAGATTATTATTAAACATAACAAGGCTTTTTGTACATAAGATGTCAGATTTTTAAATAAAGATTTGCTCGTTCATTTTTCCCTAATGAACATTAACTATCTCACATACAAGGTAATTTTGACTTCAAGATTAAAAATATCTTTATGCATTAGAAATTTGTCAAATTTCATTTTTTTAAATCTTTATAAACTCCTAATAAAATCCAGTTAAATATCAAATGTTTTTTTTAGAAAAACTTTATATTTTACCTGTTATTTTCTCTATCTTATCTCTGTATGGGTTTGTTTGATTTGATTAACCTTGTAACCATATAAAAATTTGAAAATAAGATTTAATTTCTGTTTTTTCATCTTGGACTGGCTACAAATTGTAACATGAAACCACAAATGTTTATTGTAAATAACAAATCTTGTAACATTATACATTTATTATTTTTATTTTATTGGCCTTTCAGCAGTGTCTGACTAACTTTACAGAAGTTGCAATCATGGCACGCATGCATCTCATATTACCGTATCCAGTACCATAATAGTGGCATTTACAAAGTTGTCTGTATTTTGTAAGATACAGTCACATTTTGGTTATAATACATTATATACGTATATCTATTATTACTGTTTACAAATAAATTTTTAAGTTTCAGTATTTTTCTTAAAACATAGAACAGCAAATAAAGAAATATAAAAAACAATGATCTCTAATACTTGTGGTTGTAAAGAAGCTTGTACTCGCTTGCCATACCTTGCATGGTAAGCCTTGCTGAATTTCGCATGTAGAGAATGTAAAACAAAAGAACATTTTTTTAGGTTTTATTTATGCATTTTGAAATAACAAAAAATTATAAGTTACTCTACCAATATCACAGAATTTCACTGTAATTTATCAGGCTTACTAACTAAGCTTCATTTCAGTCTAAAAAAAATACTGTTGTACAAACGACATTTTTTTTTATCCCTTCCTTCTGAGATGGGGAACAGAAAGATTAATCATGAGAAATAGATAACTAATAGGCTAAGAAAACAACATGGAGAAAATTCTGAGCTTTTGATTGGTTATAAACACGTGATAGAGCAAAGTGGATGTATGTAAGCAGGTATTTCCAAAAATAGAAGATGTGGACAGGGCCACTGTATTTGATTTGCTAAATATGGTGATATCTTAGTAAATAGAAAAGATAGGAGGCTCTCTATATTTAGACTTTGTATGTGGACATCACAAACATCTAATTTGAACCAAAGCTGCATTCAACATACCATATGACACACAAAAATCAATATTTAGGAATTTTGTTTTAATATTTACATATAAATTAACTAATTATAATCTACAATTTGATACCAAACTTTCTGACATACATTCAGAAAATAACAGTTCAATAAAATTTTGAATATAAGTCTACAAACATGATGACATGCCCTTTGACCCCAACCATAAGAAAACCCGTAGTGATAGCGACCGTATCACAATAATTCTGTACAAGTTGATGTGTGATGCCAACTAATTCTGACCAGTTTGTATCGGATTAACACATTCAAGAAACAATGCATGTGGACATGTAGTGAGAAGGTTTAGCATTTTTTAGATGTAATTTTATAAACTGAGCCTAGTTAAATGATGATGGATGTCAGAAAATGAGAAAAGTTGATTTATTTTTCATGTGAGATCACATCAGTTTGGGTAGTCGTATCTGAGGAGCACAAGAAAAAAGGGTTAAGAAATACACAGATTGTAAACTGAGTCATGGTGAATTTCACGCATTTTAGTTCTGAGCAAACATATGCACACTCTCATCCACCCCTCTAAATCCCAAATCTATCCCTAAAATTCGTGTTTTGCACTTCTTTTTTTTTGTTTCTTTGAATATTTGCCAAATAGTTTGAAAAATATGTAGAGTACATTGTGTTCCATTGAAAGAATGTAGTGTTTTATAGTGAAAACGGAAGTAAATTACAAATGTTATCTTGGCAAAAAAAATTTTTTTTTATGTGGAAAATATGTTTGCAAGAGTTGGCAAAATACACGTGCTTCTAAGTACTTTATATTTCTTGAATGATTATCATTTTGTTAATATGTATAAACTGTTTAACTTTTCTTAATTGTAGGTTTGGAGAGGATGAGGAAGACTAGATATTGTGTATAAATTTTTTGGTACAATTACATCGGGGATATTTACTGTGCAGAGTGAATATGCATTGCCCATTTGAACTAATATTTCAGTAATTTCATAAGAATAGGGTATATTTTTGTGTATTATATAAGAAACTCATTCATTTATTAAGTTAAATTTTTCAGAGACAAATTTCTTACGTACCAGTGACATTTGCCTGCAAGTTAGATTGTAAATACGAATCATGCACTATAACAGAATAAAATAAATTAAAAATTTCAGTTCAAAAAAAAAAAGGAACATCATCGTTTATAAAATATACACTGCCGGAGTCTCAGGAAGAAAGGACCTATCAGGGTATAGCAGTACGTTAGTGGAGAGTCCTGTACACATGTAGTGCAAACAAATCCAACCTACAATGCCCGCATGCCAGCAGCAACAAAAAATACACTTGGAGGGAAAGGTGATACATGGTAGAAAGGACCTATCAGGGTATAGCAGTACGTAAGTGGAGTGATAAAGAGTCCTGTACACATGTAGTGCAAACAACTCCAACCTACAATGCCCGCATGCCAGCAGCAACAAAAAATACACTTAGAGGGAAAGGTGATACATGGTACACAAGGTTAAAGGCTCCAAAGGATGTTGAGACAAAGCATGTAAAACCACCTTAATATCCCAGTTGGGTAATTGAAAAGCCCATTTGGGATGAAGGACTCTAAGTGATTTGAGAAAGCCGGTTAGCATGGGATTCAAAGACCTTCCGATGTTAGAAAAATGAAAAGTAGTCAATAAAGCTGCCTTATATAAAATAACAGTAGAAGAAGCTAGACCTTTGTCAAAAAGCCAGGTCAAAAAATGAGAAATGGTGGGCACTTTTGGGTTATGAGGATTCAATTTCCTTGTGAGACACCATTGGTGATAAGTGTGTCATTTCCACTTATAAATGGCCATTATTGGTCTATAAATAGATTGAGACAAATATAAGGCAACTTTAGACATTAAACTCTGATGTCATGCAAAGGACTGCATAACTTCCATACATGAAGTTTAAGTTTGGAAATGTCATGGTGTAGAATGTTGGATCAAGGTTGCCTCAACAAAGATGGCTAAAGAGGAAGTGGCAGAGATGGACACTCTTGAAGATACTGTAGAAGGGGAAACCATGGTTGGGCTTGCCAAGCTAGAGCTACCAACAGTACCCAGCAAGTAGTGGATCAAATCAGAGCCAGAACTCTGGGTAACAGATGAAAATTGGGGGAAAGGCATAGAGACGCAATCTCATCCAATCCTGACTGAATGCATCTATTGCCAAAGCCTGAGGATGTGGTACTGGGGACCAAATCGCCTGTAGTTGAGAATTCCAATGATTGGCAAATGCATCGATCATAGAAGTCCCAAACTGAAGTCAAATACACAGGAAAATCTTGCAATGGAGCATCTATTTGGTCTGGAGAATACGGTTGGGCCAAGACAGGTGATCTGCTATTAAATTCATCACCACAGGAACATGGCAAGCCAGGAGGCTGATGTGATGGGAGTGAGTCCAGAAGAGAATATCCAAAGTTCGAAAACAAAGCTCACAAGAATGTGTGCCCCCTTGACAGGAAATGTAAGAGACCACTATGGAATCGTCTGAATGATTCATGACAATTTTCCTCTTCAACAGATCTTGACCTTGAACCATAACCATATAAAGTAACTTAAAAAAAAAGCTTTGTAGAGTTATGTTTTAAATTTAATTAAATAACTATGTTATTACATTTTAATAATAAAGTTAGAAAAAAATTACCTTTACCCTCCAGATAATTATAAGAGAATTTTTATTTTAACCAACATTTCATTTTTGTGGCATCTTCAGGGCTAGTACATAAAACTGTTTCATATTACAATGCTGCTGTTTTTTTGTTGTTTTTGAATTTCGCGCAAAGCTACACCAGGGCTATCTGCGCTAGCCGTCCCTAATTTAGCAG